ACCAGACTTTTAAACAACTTTTTTTGATTTATTTATTTTTACTTTATGTGTATGAGTATTTTGCCTGCATGTATGCAAGTGCACCCATGTCATACAGTGCTCATGGAGGCCAGAAGAGAGCATAGGATCCCCTAGAGCTGGAGTTATAGATGGTTGTTAGCCACCATGTGAGTGCTGGGGACTGAAACTGAGTCTTCTGTAAGAGCAAGCAGTGCTCTTAATCACTGAGCTATGTCTCCAGCCCTGGGACCAGAATTTTAACTTGGTCAGTATCCCCAAGCTGGAAAGGAAGTCAAGAATAAATTGCATACTTGTAAATAAGAAATCTTAGTATGTTTATCTCTAAAAATAATCATTTATATCACCAATCATGAGATATCAACCTCCAAGTCCTATGAGGACTATAGGGATGAACATTGTCACAGTCCCTCCAAGTCCTATGAGGACTATAGGGATGAACATTGTCACAGTCCCTCCAAGTCCTATGAGGACTATAGAGATGGACACTGTCTCGGTCCACAAGCAGGAACCACAGGTTCTTCTTGGCGACCGACCATGTGTACACCTCTGGGTGTTTGTCTGTTGTGCCCGAATGTTTATCATGAGATGCTGATGCCCCCTGTCCTACCTTCTAGCATCACTGTTTTCAGGAGCACAGTGTATGTTTTCATCGGTTATAATGTCAAGTGCCTTTGCTTACATGCAACAAAATCATCAAAAGGTCTTAAAAACTCATGAGTTTCAATGGCTTGTTGGAATAAAGCTTTATTACTTCCACATGAAAATTCCAGCCCTGGTTTCTCAACTTATGTGGCTCTCCTTGGCTTTTCTCCTCTAAATGATAACTCAGCGATCCTGGCTCCTGAGTGCTGCTCTTTTCCAGGGCCTCCTCCCCTTAGCCAACCAGCAACCAAAGAGATTCAATCAGCTTACACGAGAAATTTTATAGCCAGACCCTGAAGTGATGCATAATGTCTTATGGCATCCAATTGGCCAGTCACTGGGCTCCAACTACTTGCAGAGCTGTCCTCTTATGAGTTTAGGAAGACGTAGCAGGGCCAGTGTACCTCTGCCTTCAGTCATCTCGAGTAACAGTCACAAAAACACAGCAGTGTGACTCTAGACCCTGGCTCTTAGCTACCTACTACCCATCCTCCTTAAACCTATAATTCCAGAAATAAAATAGGAAACCTGATGATCAGCCACCAAGGGCAACATTGGCAAACTAAAGGCAAGAATTAAGAATGATCTCAGCATAAGCAAAATGGGGGATCAGAACTAACCTCCAGAATTCATGCATTTGTGATATTCTGTCCCCAAATCTTCAGCTGGTCAAAAAATAAACATCAAATCATAAAAGCATAAGGTTTATAATTGTATGACTGTTCCCCAAGATGTATTCTGCTTTTGGTGATCAAATGATGCATGTCTGCTATTTTGTAAATGACCTTACTTTTCTAACAACCTACTTGTGAATTTCCGGTTATCTTGAGACTCGGGAGTATGGATCACACATTGGAGAAGGGGAAAGAGAAAGAGTAAATTTGGAGGATGTGGTGAGGAGCTGGACCCTGCTGCAGATTTGCTAAGGCTATGACTTTACCCTCGAATGACTCCTGGGGGCATCAGAACCTTGACTCTTCAGGAGACCAACTGCGGGAAAGAAAACATCTCTGTTCAGGCCAGGCTTTCACAGACGCTATGAAAGAGGATTTTCATGAAAACGGCCCATCACTGATGTCAAGATTAGGGTTATGGTTCAGGAACATTTCAGAAGAAATCTAGTAATGAAATAATATCAAAAGTTCTGGAAAGCCTGAGGTCTAAGCCCTTGTTTCCTCTCAGCCAGTTTGGACTCTAGCTGGTAGGGAAGAAAAAGCATCCTAGGGACAATGGAATAAAGCACTGACCAAATGATAGTTAAATGTCACTTGGGACCCAAGCTAGTCTTGTTTTCTTAGTTCAGTAATAACAGTTCAGTCCTTTAGAATTCAGGAAGTAAACATCCACGGAGGCAGGCCCCATGATATTGGCGTGGCTTAGATTTCAATTCAAGTGGCGTTTGCGACTTTGCTGGCTGGTGCTAATGAAACACAGGTGCCACCCTCTTTTCTGTTTGACATTTAATTTGCTCCATGATTCTTATCATGCTCTTCTGTCTGTGGTTACATGAGCTTTCCAGATGAAGGTGTCTTCTAGTTTAAAGAGGTGGCCGTAGTGGGACAAAACAGAGAAGGCAGAGCTCTAGCTCTGCGCAAATTCAAACTTTCAATGCTAATTCATGAGTTTTGTAATTGTAATAAGTCATTTATGTTCTCAATGTTTATTGTGTTTTTTGGCCTCTTTAAGCCTCTGACTGGCAAAAATATCCAGGCAAGCAGCGCAGAGACTTGCCTTCTGTCTCTTAACCTGTAAAGGAAAATGCAGTATTTTTCTCAAAACTTCAGATGTAAAGGCCCTTTTATTTTGACTTGTCAAAGCATAGAAGTAACAGCCAGCTTGTGACTGATTATGTGGAAGGTTTGCCAGACAATAGTGTGAGTGGTTGCAATGGCCAGTGCTACCCTTTAGCAGGGCCCTGTTACGTGTTACGTCATGTAAATTTTCTAGGAAGTAGGAAAGAGGAAGGAGAAGGCAGAAACGACCAGGCGCAGGGAGTGCACAAGCAGGAACAGGGAGGAGGATGGCGTTTAAGAGCTGGGCCGCAAGAGCTGCAGGGGCTCTGGTTGAGGACTTGTTTACATCCCATTACCCACATAGGGTGGATCTCAACCGCCTCTAACTCCAGCTCCAGGGGATCCGACGCTCCCCCGCCCTTCTGGCCTCTGCTTTATGGACATATTTGGCGTACACATACAAAGAAACACACATACGTACACAAATAAAACTATTTTAAAAACCAGTGGAGCTGCAGAGTCAGACAGTCAGTCATAGGGAAGCTCAACTGGGTTGAACCAGAGGTGAGATTAAACTGGCTGCTGTGCCTGAACAGCTGTAGATGCTGCTGTGTGTGTGTGTGCATGTGGAGGTCAGAGGACAACGTTCAGGAGCTGGTTCTCTTCTTCCACCATGGCTTCTGGGGAAAGAACTCAGACCACCAGCCTTGGCAGAAGGGCCTTCACCCACTGAGCATCTCGCTGTGCCTTGGCTTGTTGTGTTGACATGAAACTGTCGTGCCTACATTTGCTGCATTACACACTGCCCCAGGCCATGTCTGTATCGGCGACTCTTCTTGCTGTGACAAAACACCTGACGAAAGCAATCTGTGGAAGGTTTTATTCTGGCTCATGATTTGAAGGGGTAGAGTCCATCATGGTAGGGCAGGTGTGGTGGCAGGGGCATGAGGCAGCTGGTCATGTTGTACCTACAGTCAGAAAGCAGAGGTGACAGCTGCTGCTCATAACTTTTCCTTCCTCCTTTGAATCCCCCTGAGACCCCAGTCCATGGGATGACACTGCCCTCATTCAGGTAGGTTTGCCCTTCTCTGTTAAACCTTTCTAGAACTTGCTCTGTAGACCAGACTGGCCTCAAACTCACTGAGATCTGCCTGCCTCTGCCTCTCAAGTGCCGAGATTAAAAGTATGCATTACCACATCTGGCCACTAGGTGATTCTAAATCCAGTTGTCAGTGAAGATTGACTCTCACAGTATTGTAAAGCAAGAGCCATTTCACCTTGCTTATGATGTGGTGAGTCCAAATCTCAGGAAGGGAGCTGGGCAGAGTTTACCTAGAAGTCTGGGGGCGGGGGCGGGGGCGGGGTGCAGTCAGATTTCATAGGGAAGCTCAATTGGGTTGAACCAGAGGTGAGATTAAACTGGCTGCTGTGCCTGAAGAGCTGTAGATGCTGCTGTTGGCTAGAAGTTTAGCAATGTTCAGGCTATGTTCCACCATGGTGTTCTTGGGGATGACAAAATTCCTACATGGTGGTTGCTTTCTGCTACAGCAAGTATCAAAGAGGAACCAGAAAGCTGCATGACACTTTATGACAAAGTCTTAAAAACAACAGAGCTATTTTGGCCACATTCTTTTGGTTAAAGCAGTTACAAACCCATCCAGACTCAAGGGTCGGGAATTCAACTGTATTCTTTGTGAAGAAAGTGGAGGAGCCCTGTTGTACAGGATAGGACAGATGTACTGTGGTCATCTTCTCGAAACACCTCTCATGGTGACCTCAAGAAAAATGACCTTCCATCCTGTCTTGTGACAGGGAAACAAATACCCTTTACTGTCTTTTCAGTGGAGTGTTAATTCCATGTAAAGTCTGATGTATATTCAATTTGTCATTTTTCTAATGACTAAGAATGACTCCCAGTCTTCCATAAGAAAAGAAGCTTTGGTGCTAGAGAGATGGCTCAGTGGTTCAGGACACTTGGCTGCTCTTGCAGAGGACCTGGGTTCAGTTCTCAGCACCCACATGGTGGCCAACAAACATCTGTAACTCCAGTTCCAGAGGATCTGGAGGTTACCTGGCATGTGTGTGGTGCACATACAAACATGTAAGCAGAACACTTATACACATAAAATAAAATTAAATACATCTCAAAGATGAGGATTCCTAGTGAAAGGATCTAACCATTTAGTGAAACCATCCACGTTAGTAGGGTACTGCACGCCATTCCTTGTTGACTTCACCACTGTTCTAGTGCGCTGGCTTCTGTCTGCAGCCTGATGGGTAGGAGCAATGTGTGCACTTGCTGTGGCTGGAGTGTCGAATGCAATCATCAGTTCATCATGGGACAGAAGCACCAAGACCATGCTCTGGGTCTCCTGCTGGCCTTTCAAGACAGTTGATTGGAACCTATTGGGATGTTAAGTACTTGTTTGTTTTTGTTTTGTTTGAGACAGACAGGGTCTCCCTGTAGCCCCAGCTGGCCTGGAACTCGCTAGGCAGACCAGGCTGGACCCGATCTCACAGAGATCCGCCTGCATCTGTATTTAGGAGGAGCAACAATGGAAGCTATCCTATTCGTGGGAGAAGAACCTCACTTTCGTCAGAAAGAATTAAAACATTTATTGGGCATAAATATATTACATATACACTACAGTTAGGTATTACATATAGCATAGTATTTGCAAAATCTATACATTAAAATTGATATGGCAGTTTTAATACAATGTATATGAAATAGTCTAAATTTACAATACAGGAAAAACATATGATTATTTTTTTTCTCCTAAAGTTGAAAAGCTTGGAATGTATGTCCAACAGTGAGGTAAAACACTTTGTCTTTCAATTTAAAGAATTGTGCGAGGGTAACACTCAAACACGTTCCATTAGGGCACTTTTCAATTTCGACATGAATACTGAATTACTGTAGCCAAGAAACAGGGTTAGAAAACACCAACATTTCAAGTTTGATAAGAACAAGGCAGATAGTATGCAAAATATCCTTTAAAAAAGTTTCCTTTTTAAACAAATTCTTTGAGGACAAAGGGTAGTTTGCTCAGATGACTGGAATTTCTGTGTCAGGGATACGTTTAACAGAACATCAGAGCCTTGGAGAGCCACTTACTCCTTCACAGGGCTAAAGGGCAGAGGGGAGCTCAACAGACACCTCATCTTACTGATGGTGTGTAATGGTAATACAGAGTTCTAGATCCACAGCACATACACAGACTTGTGCCACACAGAGCAATGGCTTCCTGACCGAGAGGATCATAATGAAGAGTGAGAAAATGAAGTGCTGTCAGCTCATTTTCACGCACTCCAGCTTTCTGGTGGTTATGGAGTACGAAAATCTCAGGAAGATCAAATATTCATAGTGATGGTGGCCTGAAGTATTATTTCCTTTAAAACAATTCAACCAATTCAGAGAATTCATTTATAGCAGCAATGCTGAAGTGTTTCAAAAAAGACTTTCCCCCACAAATAGGGGTTTTCAAAATTATTACACTGAATTTGCATTGTTTAAAAAATGCTTTCAACTGCATAAAACTGTCTCAGAAAATGCAGACTTAATGTCACGGTGGGTCAGATCACAGACATGGAAGTACGAGTTTTGGAAGGCCAGAGCTTTGGCAAAAATATATTTCCCTCGATACCATCAGTTTGCTAGTCTAATTACACTAATTACTCTAGTCAATAACAAAACAGAACTCTCCAGCACTTAACTACATCCATATAGGCACACAGGAATTCATTGATCTTAGCACTCTTCCAAGAGATGATTATGGTTTTCTGGGTACATGTAAACCTTTCAATCACTGATAGTGGAATTTTTTTTTGGCATTTAATGAATTAGATGTTCTTATCCTTAAAAACACAGGAAAATGTCAGAAGGTTAATACTACGGATGTTGCCAAGGAACAGGAATGGCCTAAAATTACAAAAGTATAAAACACACAAAAAATATAACATGCTACAAGGGAAAATTAGTACATAGTACATTGAAAATTTTTTACAATAAATAAAGATTGCACTGTAATTGGCATTTAAAGTACTGTATGCAGAATATAGTATAAATAAACCAAAAACAAAATAATGTTGGTTTCCCCATGACTTTGGTATGGGAATACTATAAGCTAGTACAGGATACTTACTGCATCATAGACAACACAGACCAAGCACAACATAGCAATGATGAAGAAAACCCAAGGAGCAAAAATATACAAAAAATAGGAGCGGGGGTCCACTGTGTCTGCTGCACCCTTTTGGAATATGGTTGCACCTCCAACTCTTTAAGTGTCCCTGAGGTACTGAACATTGTGGACTTCATATGAGTAATCCAACGACTTTGGGTTATAACTGATGATCTCGTGACTCAAAATGAACATGTGAGAGCAACACTGCACCCCAATAGCACCGGTGGATCCAAGATCTCAAAGCACGTACAAGCTTTAGAATCCCCATTTTTATCTGATTTGATTTCTCATGTCTGGGAAAACCGAGGCACAGAGAGGTAAAGTGACATGTTCAGGTCACGCAGCAAGTCAGTGACAGATCCAGGCAGAGACTCTAGTGGGCTCTTTGACCCCCAAACATTCTGTGCTTTCTGTCAGATACCATTCCGTCTCCACACGTGGCCAGATCAATCCTCTGGAAATCGGAACAACAAATGCAGATGATCCCTGTGGGCTTCAACGGTAAGATTTTCATCTGCTCTTACATTAATAGTATGGGCACTGAATTAAGGTTCTGAAATTCAACCACTTCACTGATACCTCAAAGAACAGCCTAAAGGCAAATCTTTCAAAAACAGTGAGCTGCCTGGTAAGAAGGCAGCTCACAATTGTTGGAATCATCGTGGACAATGCACGGAGGCCTCAACTGTCACCAGCTCTCGTCACATAATTCTGGTCAAACGTAACAGAATATAATAACTCTAGTGATTAGATTAGAAGTAGTTATATACAAAGACAGACAAGTTAAAGCAGCTTTTAAAGTAGCTGAACAAGAAAACAACTAACTATTGCACAATGCCCTCTTAAAGTTACTGCTATGGATTGGCGTGGTAAAATCTACAATGCTCCATAATTTATAGGTGCATTTTGGTTATTTGATTTCTTAGACAGGCAGCTCATAGTGTTAAAATCACAAGGGATACAGAGCAGTAAAACATATTGGATTAAAGTACACATTTTGATTTAAATGAGCTAAACACAATTAAATAACTGAGTGATAAGATGGTTCAGGGCGGCCTTATCCGAAGGAACACATGCTCTGAATGTGGCAGTACTCTGACAACATTGAAATCCCAGCCCTGTAACTACATACATTGTGATTCTGTTTACAGATGTAGATGATCAAGATAAAAGAAGTGACTGGTGAATATAAATTACTACACTGTAACACACACACAAATATCAAAGGCTTGCAAAAGACATCAGTGAAAACAGAATAAAAGCAAATTTGAAAACTTAAAAGCACATGAAGACTAGCTTTTGGTATCTGGTTTGCTTTCCTTCACGCTCTTCCTCCTCTTCTTTTTATTTATTAGTTTTTAAAAATCCAGTTTAACCTCTTTCTAGTTTTGCATCTCAAAAAGGTGTACCAAAACACTGACTTTTCCCTAGTGAAATCTGTAAAACAAGAGAAGCATAAAAATCAAAGAACAAAAGGGCTTAAAAAAGGGGCTTATCTGAATAAATGTGTCTATTAAAATGCGTGGCATTCCACTCATACCTCTAGTTTGCTGGATTGGTTTACTTCATTAAGAAGTACTGTAATATAAAGGCAAATAAAATGGATAAAGTCGCAAAGCCCAGCACAATGAGGGCCGCAAACTGTTCATCGGTTGGCATCATGCTCTTCATTTTAGGATCGTCTATGCGCCTCATGTCCCCGGAAAGCATGACCTCAGGTCGTTGTAATACAAAAGCCACAGAGGGGCTGAAGGCTCCGCTGAGCTCCTGAGAGGTGTCCACGCAGCGACGACATGCACACACACGGAACCTGTAGTCTGTGTTGCTCTGGAGGCCTGAGATTTGGAATGTGGCTTCTTCTCCCTTGTACACCTTCAAGACAAAGGAAAATCGTAGATCAGTGACAGGTAACACTGTGGCCTCCACAGAAACCATCAGGTGCAAAACGACCCATTCCCACCCTCAAGAGGTAAATACAACTCTGGAACTTGTTTTGCCTGCTGTAGAGTTACACAGAGTTGTGCTGGATGGCCTCACTAAGAAAGACAGAGCCGTGAAAGTCCCATGGTGCTGTGAGACCATTCCTTTCTCCCTGCTCTTGGCCTCCGTTTCCCCATGGCACCCCATGATCTCCCAAGTGTTCCCAATAAAGAGGCTGGGCCTGGCTGCCCCGGGAAAAGCACCATCTTCCTCCATCTGTGCCAAGCAAAGACTTGGCAGTTTTTGTGACGTGGCCTCTGACTGCTGCCATCAAAGGATGACCCCACTGCAGAAAAATCACTTACCAACCTAACCCAACAGAGGTGTTAGAGGCTTCTGGAAAAATGCATATGAACAATATTTTATCTACTTACATGATTTCTATGATTTCCAGAGCTCGCATGGCTATGTCCTTTCAAGAGTCTGCCTTGAAGTATATTCAATTTTCCAGAAACCCAATTCAGAGAATCTTGAAGAGAGACTCTGACGTTAATTTTGATGGACAGTTCCAAACCTAATTGCTTAGATGGGAAGTCTTGAAAAATATATTTGGAAAGCAAAAGAACACTATTTTTTCTTGAACAAATAGCCAAAAAGCTTAGGGAAACAAATAATTGAAAGCTGGGCATGGTGATGCTCACCTACAATCCCAAGGAGGCTGAGGCAGGACGATGGAAAATCTGGGGTCAGCCTGAGCTGGTAAGGCCCTGTCTCTCAAAACCAAAACTGAAACCGAACAAATAAAACTCTGAAGGGAATTTCTTTTTTAAAAATGTCATTTATTTTTATTTTATGAGTGTATTGCCTCCATGTGTGTTAAATGTACTCATTTAGTGCAATGCTCACAGAGGTCAGAAGAAGGTGTTGGATTCCCCTGGTACTGGAGTTATGGACAGTTGTTAGCTGTCATGTGGGTGCTGGAAATTGAACCTGGGTCCTCTGCAAAAGCAGCCAGTGCCCCAACCTCTGAGCTATCTCTCTAGCTCCTGAAGGGAATTTCTTAATGACAAGCATAATAAAAATTTAGGCTTCAATATATTGCCAACACAGGATTAACATCATCTTTTTTAACATATAAGCTAATATCAAGTATGGAACTGTGTTCTATCATCTTCATAGTGGCTTGACAAAGTAGATGTTTAGCAAGTTTTCTCTAATCAGACTCTCCAAATACTCAAGTAGACAGCCCTATCCCATACTGTTTGCAAAGAGGACAAGTGCCAGAAATAAGTAAATGTGACATGAGGCACATACACATGCACCCTCAGGACATACATGCACACCAACACCCATACAACCACCCAACGGAATTCAGAGAGAATTCAGTCCAGGAACAGCCATAATTGCAGAAAGTGGAATCATAACAGTGACTGTTTCCAGCGCATTGCTAGTACATTTTAGCATTGCTCAACAATGATTAGCAAGACTTCTGGATTAAGTAAAAACTAAAAATTCTGCGGGGCGTGGTTGTGCACGCCTTTAGTCCCAGTGGAGGCAGGAGAATCTCTGTGAGTTCCAGGCCAGCCTGGTCTACATAGTGAGTTCCAGGCCAGCTGGGGCTACAGGGAGGCCTTTACTCTCTGCAGGGAACATGATTCCAGGGTGCCTTCAGATCCAGTTTTCAGTAGGAGTGTCTATGTAGCAAAAATTTAAATCTACGGCGGGGTATTCCTGTAATCCCAGTATTCTGGAGTGAGTCAAAAGGATCAAGGCTAGCCTGGGCTACATAGTGAGTTTCAGGTCAGCCTGGGGTGTCTCAAAAAGACCAAAAAATAAAATAAAATAAAATAAAATAAAAATAAATAAATAAAAATTCCTATTACGCATTTTCTGAGGATTCTGATCTTGTACATTTGATGGAAACTGATTTGCTTTTGCACAAATAACCACAGCCACTGGGGATACTCTAAGTTCCTGCTACTCTATGTTCCTCCAGATTGTTCCCATGGCTTGGGGATGTTTCTACGTATTACCATTAAAGAAATATATGTTTAAGGTGCAAGAATAGCAAGAATGCTCTTACAGAAGAAAGAAGAGTGTGCTGTGATGGGGAGGCCTGCCTTACAGGTATCAAGATGCAGGATTAATCAGGCCTGGGTGACCCCTGCTCAGATATGACAGTTGTCCAGTGGAGAAAGAGATCACAGAAATGAAGCACAGAGGAGCAGCCCCAGCCTGAAACCCTGCACCTGCTGGGACACCTACGGGGTCTCCAGGAAGCCTGTGGGCAGTCCTGGATGATAGGTGGACCCCTGGATCTGGAGTTGGTTAGCCCTTGGCAGATTTCCAGATCTGACCTTGGAAGACTCACTCTCCCTGTGCCTCAATAACTTCGTTTTGGAGAGTATATGAATTATCTCAACTCTTGGCTGGAGAGACAGCTCAGTGGTTAAGAGCACTGGCTGCTTCTTCAGAGGACCCAGGTTCCCAGCATACATATGGTGACTAACGACCCTGTAATTCAAATTCCAGGGGAATCAATGCTCTCTTCTGGACTCTGCTGGAAGTGCACAACACAGGTGCACTTACATATATACAGTCAAAACACACACCAAGGAACCTCAACTCTCAAACCTGCGAGAGCTGTAAACAACACAGCACAGAGCAGCCTGGGAGGATCCGGTGCCCTCACTGTGCCTTTTCTCTGCCCTCACTGAATGAAGCTACCTATGGTCCATATTTTAACAACTGCTCACGAGACACAATGTTTCTCCTTGTTGTGATATAAAAACAGCTCTTTACGAAGTACCTTTATTTTAGTATTTTTCAAGAGGCCACATAAAAAAGTTGTGACTAGTTCTGGAGGTGTTACAACTATTAGATTCACATTCAGTCCTCATAGGCTTACTCAAGCTTCAAAGCCTCTCCACCCTAGGGCTAACTCTGGCGTCCTCATGCCAATGGATATATATGTACTCTTGTGGGGAAACCGGTCATATGTATGTCCCAGGGGAGAAGTAAAGATTTTTTTTTAATGTGTAGAAAAACACATTAAAGATTTTCAGTTTCAGAGAAAGAGTGGTGATCTTTAAAATAAAACGAAATGTCGCCTTCCATTTTTTAAAAATAAAAACAAATGGATGGATGTAGAAGAAGCCGATTATTTTACATAACTCAATGAAATAAATTGGCTATATTATAGCATCTTACTTGCAAGCCTATGGTCTCAATTATAAACTGATGGGTATTCAACACAACCATGGATTTTAAAATTCCAGATTCCAGAAGGCCAAATCAATGAAAATCAATCCATCAGCTGTGAAACACCTCAGTCTTGAGGGTGTCAGGCTTCTGAAGGTGAGAACCAACTCTCCAAAATGAAGGTGAGGCCACGTTCGTGGGATTCGTACTGAGGTTAAATGGGACAGCACACAGAGACCTCCTGAGATGGTGTCCTGAATGCAGCAGAGTCTAAGGAACAGCTGCATAATGCTATGTTGTGTAAGGAGAGTTCCACAGCTATGGGACTACACTCCTCTGATCTCCTTTTAGGGCAATCACGTGGTACCAGGGAACGTTGGGCCTATAGCAGTTTTGTGAATCAGCTGAAGGGAAGCTCGAAGAAGCTGACTCTGGGGTCCACAGCACGTCTCCGGGCACCAACCCAAGCAGTACTTAGAAGCTGATGCAGCCATGAGATCACCAGGTCCTCGGGCCTGTGCACAGCCATGGCTACGCTGGGGTGACTTCCCAAGGGACTTTGCTGCATTGCACAGGGAGCAAATGGCTGGCTGTGCCTCATCCCTCAGTTATCATTCATCAGGGGCCCCAATGGGCCTCTCCTGCTGCCTCAACCCAATTCAGGAGGCAGACAGAGCTCCACTTCCAGTAAGACTTTCGTATTGAAATCACCAATCATAATATTGTAAATAAGTATATATAACACATCATTTTTTTTTCAAAAGCTATTTTTGTTCTTGATTTGGTGAGTGCTATATTTTAAACTATTTTGAAGTGTTTTCTCCAAACCAGAGGGCATAAAATAATACCCAGATAAGTGAAATGAAGCCTTCCCGGGTCTTCGTTTTGAGTAACATACTACACGGCTGAAATCTACAAACAGCTTTTGAGCACCGAGCACAGTGCATGCTGGGTTGCTAGGGGCTGACTTGCATACCTTTAATGATGCTTGCCCTCTCCCCACCCAGTGCTGGAGAAAGAGATACCACTGCACCATGTCACCACCGCACAGATCTCATGACCAGACGGATGTGAGGCTCTAACAGTCTGAGTTACAGGATTCTTAGCCCCGCTTTTAGAGCAAGAGAAGCGAGGCTTGGCAAGATTAATCAATTCTTCCCGATCACTGGGCTGTGGGAGGCAGATGCGTCTTCATATGCCCTGTGGTTCAAGAAAGAACCTGCTAACATGTACATGAGACAGTGGTGGCAAATACCTCCGCTGTTCAGCAGACGAGGGACCCGCAAAGGTGCTGGGACCGAACTGCTCATCTGCCATGGGCGTGTACTTCTAACTCAATGGGCCTGCAAACTGAGTGCCGACTACATCAGGCACTTCCACAAAACAAAGCAACCAAGAGTGTATCAGTAAACCAGGTGCTACAACCAACAGTGTATCAGTAAACCAAGGTCCTACACTGGCACTCCAGGAAATAGAATATAAATTTACATGAAATTTTAAAAGTGAAATTTTCTGTTATGCGGGGTCATGGCCTTCCATGACATACTAAAATGCACCTACAAACAAAAAAATTAAATGATAGATTTTAAAGATGTCTGTTATCTATTGTTTTTGCTTTAGATTTGATCCTTTATTCATGTAAAACTTTTAAAAAATATTTTCTTATATTGGGCACGCTGGCATGTGCCTTTAATCCTGGCCCTCGGGGGGCAGAGGTACGCGGCTCTCTGTGAGATCGAAGCCACCCTGGTTCATATCGTGACTTCCAGGTGGGCTATGAGTAGGGAGACCCTGTCAAAAAACAATCAACCAAAAAAACGACAAAAAAAGAAAAAAATTTTATTTATTATTTTTATTTCATGTGTATATAAGTGTATTGCCTGCATATATGTTAAGTGTACCCAGGTCATGCAGTGCCCACAGAGGCTAGAAGAGGGCATTGGATCCCCTGAAACTGGAATTTACAGATGGTTGTTAGCTGCCATGTGAGTGCTGGGATTCGAACCTGGGTCCTCTGCAAGAGAAGTCAGTGCTCTTAATCACTGAATCATCTCTCCAGCCCCTATTCATGCAAAACTTTAAAACAGATGTGGTAGAACAGAGCTTTACAGTTAGTGCCAGTGTTCGAAGTCACTGAAACACATGTTGGGTGTAGACCATGCTAGGCTCTTCAGGGCTTCAAGAGAAAATCCTTCCTTACTGGGCCTTTTGTGATAACATGAAGGATCAGTATATAGCTTGGTACTGCTCTCTAATTATATATATATAAAATAATAAAATACATATATTATAAAGATACATTTATAGAGAGATGCTGTCAAGCTAAAGGCAGGCTGTACAGAATTTCAGATTCTTTAGAAGTTGTCTTGAAACAATACAGCAGAGCACCGACCAGCAATAGGAAATGTCTTCCTGTCGTCCGCTGACTCCATTCTTGTGTTCAATTCTTATATTTTTGTAAAAATTATTGCTGACTGAACAAGCAGACACATAATTCTGCTTCATTTCCTGTGTGTTCTAAACTGTCTATGTACAATCTGTGCAGTAACAAAGGTGAGTTGTGAGCATATAGACCAACTTTCACCCTTTTCAAGAATATTTTGCTGTAATGTCATTTGAAAGGAAGTTTAAGATTCATGAAAAAAAGTTTGGGTTTGGAATGTTCATTAAGTGGCAGAGAAAGACAAATATAAATAACATGCAGTTTAACCTGGAATGAATGTCTAGGTAGGGATTTACACTTTTAGTTAACAGATGTGTGTTAAATTATTAAGATGGTTACTAGCTGTGCATCATAATGATACCTGAACAAAGGGAAGTTAGAACCAAAGCTACCTTAAGTCAGTGTTTCAAGAGAAGTGTCAAACCAGCCTGGCCAGCAGCATCAGTGAGAGTGCCTGTCTCAAAAAATAAGATGGAAATGGGATGGAGAGACGGCTTAGCGGTTAAGAGCACTGGCTGCTCTTGCAGAAGACCCGGGTTCACTTCCCATGTGGTGGCTAACAAATGTCTGTAACTCTACTTCCAGAGGCTCTGACTTCCTTTTCTGGCCTCCAAGGTCACTGTAGGCGTGTGGCGTACATACATACATGTAGGCAAACACAGACATAAAATAAATACTTAGAGCAACTAAGGAAGAGATCCACCATCGACCTCTGGTGTCTGCAAGCACACAGACACAGATGCACAGAGACACACACACAGACACAGACACACAGTCACACACACACACACACAAACATATACACATATACACAGACACACAGAGTCACACACACAGAGACAAACACACACACATATACACAGGCACACAGAGACACACACACATACACACACATACACAGACACACAGAGACACACACACAGACACAGGCACAGAGTCACACACACACAGCACATTTAGTTTATAAGTTTTTGTTGTTAATACAAGAAACAGCAACACGGAAGGGAACTCATATTGTGAATCAGATTTTCTCCCATTTTATGTATTTGAAGCCTCAAGAGCTAAAAAAAAAAAGCAGCCTTCACAAACGATGCCAAGGTTTCCGAGGACAGGTGACAAATGAATTATTAAAACTGCCAGTGAAGAATGGGCCTCGATTTCCTGATGTAACATAACAATACTGTGTCCTGATTTTACAAAGCAGGTGTTATGTTCCAGAGGACAGAGCAGGAACCCTTCAGAGTCTGAATCCCCTGTGTCCAGTGACTTCATAGGGTGACTGAGAGAAATGAAGGCTCAAGAGATGTGAAGAACCATGAGAACGGAGTTTATCATCTGGCTCCAGGGGGATTATGGCTTATCTTGAGTAGGTTCACTTCACCCTGCTAGTTCTACTTACAGGATGGTCCGTGACAGAGTGGCACTGGCATCACCAGGAGCCTGGAGCCCCACCTAACCATCCCAATCAGAATCTGAATTCTAACAGGTTTCCATGTGATATCTTTGTATATTACAGGATGACAAGCAGTGACCTACTGTTTCTGAGTCACAGGGTTTAGGGACCCCATGGTCAGTGCCCCCGTATTGTTTGTGGTCACCTCATAACAAAGGTGGACAGGACACTCAGTTGCTGGTCCCCTCTAGAGCCACTTTTGTTTTCAATTACATGAAGACACACATTCAAGTATCACTGCCATCAAAGACAAAGGTACCACTTGGAACTGTACAAGCTTATGCTTGGGAACTGACAGTCTAGGGTGAATACCACTAAGCATGCGATGAGGCATAAAACACACAGGCTGGCGAACAGTGCAGCAGGAGTAAGTCAGGATGTCTGAACCACCGACTCCTAACAACATTCAGCTCCCGGCCAAGCACAGCTGCGCTCAGAGGCAAGCAGCCCACTCGACGCCAGCGAGTCCCACGTGCGTGTGGACACTAGCTCTTACCTGTTTGTACTCCGATTCTCTTCCGACCAATACCTGCAGAATGTAGTTAACGGGGTCGCCTTTCATCGGTGGTACCGTCTCCCATAAAATTTCACATGAATTTCCCTCTAACTGTGTCACTCGAGGTGCTGCAATACAAAACCACATATCTGAGCTCAAAATTCTAAATCTCACGTTAGCAGCCAATATTCTGTTACCGTTAGTGAGAATCTAGGGAGAGTGCAATGGTGCCTATGACAGCCTGGGGAGGGAACTTTGCCCATAAATGCTGCTGGTTAAGGCAAGAGAAGTCACTCCAGGACCAGAAAACGCATTCACAGCAAGTCTCTCCAGTAGCTCACTATTAGCTAGCTGGCGTACAGCACAGTTCCATTACTTTCGTCCCCCCGCTGCTGTGCATCTTCCTCATGGTTTAGGCCACTTTCCATGTGCTAGGTACTCTAGGGGCACAGAAGTAAAGATCGAATCTGTTTCAAAGGATCCTAAGACCCAGGTAAAGGCAGAGGGTAGCACAGTAGGGGACAGGTATAGGAAGAAACTGAGTACAAGACAGAGTAACACAGGAGGCTTAGGCCACACCTGGGTGAGGGTCTAAAGAGGATTTGAGGAGTGGTTGGTACTGAGAAAAGTCCCAGACAGCAGGCATAACTGAAAGCTTAAAAACATGTTATCTGGGTCAGAGAAATGGCTCGGCAGTTAAGAGCACTGTCTGCTCTTAGAGGACTTGGGTTCAGTTCCTAGTACCCACATGGTGGCTAGCAACCATCCTTAACTCCAGTTCCAGGGGATCTGACACCTTCTTCTGACTTCTGTGGGCACTGTAGGATACAGACGCACTTATACCCATACAGGCAATACACTTGCACACATAAAAATAACATAAAACATGTTATCCCATATTAATATTTACTTCTTACCTATTGAATTCATCTCTCTCTCTCTCTCTCTCTCTCTCTCTCTCTCTCTGTGTGTGTGTGTGTGTGTGTGTGCGTGTGCTAGAGATCAATAGACCAATCCCCATGTCTCACTCATGCTACACATAAGCACTTTGCCACTGAGCTACATCCCTGGCCCTTAAAATAACATATATTTAAAAAACTTTGCATAGCTTTCTGTCATCTCTACAGCCTAACTCAAGATCGTCCATATTTCCAACTAGAACGTGGAACTCCTCTCTGAACCCACTTATGCCTTAATTTCTATTACATACAGTTAATTCTTGAGAGGCACACATTTCTACTTGGCATTCTGTCACATGACATTATTTTAGAAAAATACGATTTTTTTTTTTTTAAGAGCCTATGTTGGAATTATTTGGTCAAAACTCCAAGCAATTATTGGAAAACTAAATAAGGAATCTCATCAGACCTAACAGTCTTCCGGCAAAGACGGCAATTTCCTGAATCTAAGAGCCAGAGAAAGAGCCTAGTCACTTGGTGTTCGGGGAAACTGCCCATGTGAGGTAAAAGCACCCAAAAATCCCAGTGCTGTCTAAACGTCTATGAAATGAATTCCAACAAGGATCACACTGAGAGGCAAAGTTAATGTCCCCAATATCAGACAGACTCCAGTCTGATAATTAGTGCCTGTGGAAACCCTTCCTAGGTGCCAGTAAATCAGCCCTAGCGCACTCAAGTTCCCCTTAATTAGAGCCCAGAGGCAAAGGTATACCAGGGGGCTGGGCATTTACTGCCAAAGCGATCCAGCCCAGCACCCACCAAGGGCCCATGTCACACAGAGAAGCTGTCAAGGAGCCTACAGAGCAGGGAAGTGGGGTGAAGGCACAGTTCATGAAGTAGCCCTGGAAGGAACTATGGTAAAGTGGGCAGAACCCAAGCCAGACAGGGACTGAGGTTCTGATGGCCCCCACTTCCTGCAACTGACTCCATGCCCTGGAGGTGACTCAGCTCCTTCATGTGGAAGCTGTCCAGGGGCAAACACAGGGGACCTTCTCCATAGGGAATACATGCCCTACCATCGCCTCAGGGCCATTTGGGCAACAGCTGGATAAAGCGTCAGGGACCTGCATAGGAACCTGATTCTACTGAAGGGGACATGACTCAGGAGTCCACGTGCAAGCCACAGGACCTGCATTAGAACCCGAGTTCAGGGTGAAGAGACACGGCTCAGGAGCTCATGTGCAAGCTTCAGCTGCTGCTATCTGCCCTGCCATGGAGGTCTGCTTTCCTGTGAACAGCTCCGGGGCTGGCTAGGGGGAGGAGGGCTCAGCAGGCCTGGTGGAGGAAGGATCCAGGAAGAGCAGCTCTGTTCACCCTTCTTGAGACAGATGGGGGAAGATTTAGTTATCTGCTGTCTCAAAACTCCACAGGGCAGGACCTGATTCCTTTAAAGGGATGAAGAAGGAAACCCCACAAACCTTGGAGAAACACTGATGGCTACGCCAAAGGCATTCCTCCAGGGTGAGGACGTGTGCCCACAGGAAAAGGCTGCTGAAGTTGCCCAAATCAGTCTCTGACTGGATGAATGCCAGTCTCTGAATGTCCTTGGGAAAGAAGATCCAAAAACCTTCCTGGGCAATCTGTCTTAAACTGACCCTTGCCTCTAACTCAAAGTCTGTCACTCAGATCTGTTCCTTCAGTCTGTTACCTTCATGGATGAGAATATCTCACTAGTATATTTGCAATAAGTATTTGTACATACTACACAACAGTCTCTCAGACAGCCCATCAACCCAAATTTCTTTTTCATAACTCTTTTGATTATACCCTGCTATTGATGGTCAGACTTGCATTTCCTACTTGAAGACTCAACTCTATTGTCAAAGGACCTGGTGGCAGGACTTACACACCTTTGAGGGTGGGAGGGACACTTTTGGTTGTGCTGAAGGTGTAGGTTTCTGAGAAGGGCCCTTCCCCTGCCTCGCTGGCTGCCTGGATCCTGAAGGAGTAGCAGGTGAACTCCGTCAGTCTCTGGACCTTGTAGGTGTGGCTGGGTCCTCTGTAGATGGAGATAAACCTGGAGGAAGGAGCAGAATCCATTAGCCATCTGAACTTCTCTTGGTGACAAATTGTGATAAGAACTCTTGGGATGGATCAGGGCTAACTTGATAAATGCTTTTCCTATAGTCTGAATCAACCAGTTGCTATGCTGTGGTGCAGTTTAATGTTTAATGAATGTTTATAGAAAAGAAAAGCACACACCGAAGCACATATTGAGAGTGGAAGGGCATTCTAGACAGACCAGTGGTTCATGTTTTTATTGACTAATAAAACCCAGAATTTTCAAGTATTTCATTGTGGCATTAACTTACCATCTGTGATGTACTTGGCAATGCAGTTACCATGAACTGCAATGAGATGCCTCTTTGCCCACATTTTCCAAATAACTGAGGCTTAGGAAATTCTTTTTGTGAATATTTATATAAGACCTCACAAAGCCCCTTCCTCAGTTGGCAGAAAGACACCTATGATTATGTATCTTTGAGAAAATATGTAAAAAACAAAAAAACTACCATGTTCAGAATTATCCACCAAGTCATTTAAAATAACAGAAAAAAAAAGCACAGGCAGTCTGGGAAGTTTAGACGGGCAGATTTTAGTTTCTTCTCCCATTGCTCCAGAGCCATTTTACTCTTCTCTGCTAATTAATACATTTCTAATTTTAAAATATATTATTAGTGGGGGGGGGGCATGCACGGAAACCAGAGGACAATTTGGGAGTCGGTTCTCTCCTTCTACCTCTACATAGGTTCTGGGGGTGGAATTCAAGTCATCAGACTTGTGCAGCAAGAGCTTTTACCCACCGAGCCATCTTGCAGGCCCCTAATTAATAGTTTTATGAAAACTAATTATACAAAATACAAATTAAAAAATAATGCCTTGCATTTTTAAGTATTTTCCTCAGAGTACCCTGAAAACTTAACTCCCCCAAATGAAACTGGAGTACCTATAACTATTAAATATGCTTCTATCACATAAAAAAGTTAACTGTAATACTTTGAAAACAACAATTTCCCACAAGTTCACCTTCAGGACTTGAATCTCACTGGCCTGGTACACTCTGAGAACCAATACTCAACTGACTCTAACAGATGCCCTTGCCCACACAGGGCACACCTGGCTTCTCGTGCCCCGGGCTCCCTAGTACCTGAGGACACTCTACTGTCTTTAGAAACTACTGAAATGGGTCAGGGACAGAATCACAGTTCAAAATGTCTGACTCTGGGCCTGGCTTGGCCCAAGGGAGAGAATTTATGCATTCATTTAGCAATAGTTCTTGAACATCTGGAACATCTGCTGTGTACTGGGCTCTGTGAATGTGAAGATAAATAAGGCCTGCCCTGAGGGTAAGTAAGGGTAAGTTAGCCCTGTGTGGGGGTGGGGAGCTCTTTAGAGCAGCAGCAACTTCAGCACATGTTGGGTGGAGGAGTGTGGATCCACAGACAGGCAGATGTGGAGAGAGTGATCAATTTAAAGGAAAACAAAAGCCTGTACGCCAGCACTTACTGTCCAGCATTCAGGTACTCATCAGCCTTTGCAATGGAGTTCCTAAGCCCTAAGAAGTTCACCCAATGTTCTCTGTTTTGCTGTGAGAGGAAGTGCCTTTTACTAAAGGCTGAGCGTTGTTAATTTCAAGGAAAGCCAGTGTCCAGGTCGAAGCCCACAAATAACCATGGCAACCTGCTGAGCATGCTGGACACATTACCACCTTAATGAAGATACCCCGGTTAATGTACAGGCAAGCGGCTACTTATTAACTCAGCCTCACCTGGGCTAGACTTTCGAACAGAAGTAATTGCCCTTAATTATATCACAAATGGAAGTCATGGTTTAAGAAGTGCCACTGTTACATCTCCTTTACAAAGTGGCCGGAAGCATGGTTTTTAAGTTTGGAGAACATTAGAACTGCTTCCAGCCCTGCCACACTCTAAAGACAGCATTTCCTTTTAGAAAACAGGGTCAAAGCATATTTGTGCCCAAGTCCAATATATATGCAGGCAGAAGCACTCGTATTCACAAAGAAATTCACTAAGCACATTCAGTAATGTGCCCTAAACTGAGCAAGTAACACGGATACAGTTTTCAAGTACATCAAAACATGCTGCTTCTAGACTATTTTATTCCTCTTGTTTCCTGATCATATACCAGTGCTTTATAAATCACATAAAATGGAACTCCAATTCATAAAAAGCACTGTGGAAAAATCTAATAGCAATGGTAAACTTGCCATCAGAGCATTTATTGACTCAGGTCTTCAGAAGGCGTTTCCCACATTCGTGTCGATTTTTGTGCAAAGAGCGCAACTGTGAATGGTTCTGAGGACGTTAGCCTGGAAGAGTCCCAGTGTATTAATATTTAAGGCCTCGCTTTCGGTGAAGGCAGAAGCGGGCAGCTGCAGGAGGCCCACTTGGGAGGGAAGCTGGGTTCTAACAGCCTACAGGTACCAGTGGAAGGAGCCGAGAACATCAGTGAAGTGGGCAGTGCTTGCTGCCTCATACCTTTTTCAAAATAAGCATGCTCCCAGTCAGTCCTTGGTTTAGCACGCTGCCTACTCTGGTAACAAGAAACTCACGGGCTTACCTGACCTTCATCCCCACAAAACAGCAGGGCCGGCCACTCCGTGAGAGAGAAGACTTCCGTTTTGTTTTCAAAATGTGTATGGAAACGGCCCAAAGAGATGGCAACTTGTTACTCTGTCACCTGTCTAACCAGTTACAGAGCCATCCATGAGGGGAGGGAAGATGACAGGTGCAGTACAGGCCCTCCTGAGGGAAATGGGGATGGACAGCAGGTAGAGGGGAGAGCCCAGGAATTCCAAGAGTTTTGGGCAAAACAGCTCAGAGTAGTCGAACATTAAATATCAGTCCCACAACCAATGGCTACCTGGAGAAACAGGTGAGGTCTGTCCTCTGGGGTATGAGTGATAAAAGGCATACGGGAGGAGGGCGTGGGTGTGTGTGTGTGGGGGGCTAGAGGACTGAGCAATGAAGCAAGGTGGTGACAGTCAATGCCTTCTGATCTCATTACATGGGAGCTGGGACCAAGAGTCTCAGGGAGAGCCTACGGGCAGTCACAGCGAACTTGTGCATTCACTACACGTGAATGCTTTTCTCCTCTAGCCTTATTTTCAGGGGGGACAAGAGAACAGCAAGAATGAGATTATGGGGTAAAGAGGACAGAAAGACCGGGAATTACTACTTTCTATAAATCACATTTGATCACGGCTAACTTCACATCTTTGCTACTCTTTTCAATCAAAAAATCCATTCAATAAGTGCATTCTAGCTACATTTTCTATACAAATTGTGACAGAAATCAGAAAACAAAATCCTTTACAGAATGCTGTTTTTCAATTTTAGTTTCCTGACAATAGGGTCTTGCTATGTTAACAGCCAATGTGACTTTAATTTTTAATTTTTCTTCTAATTTTGAAAACGTTAAAGGGGCCAGCATGGTTCTGTTTCTTTTATACTCATCATTCAGAGATATGGGTACTTGAAGGGGTGCAGTCAATATGGGTTCCGAAATGAGACCTGCTCCCCGCACTGTGGAACGCTCTCAAGTTCTCTGTGCCTTGGTTCTCCTCTGTATGAAGGAGTAAAGATGGCACTTACAGAGCTGTTGTGGTTTTTCTTTTCTTTTTTTAAGTTTAGTCAGGGTTTCACTGTAGCCCCAGCTGACTTGGAACTTGCTATGTAGACCAGGTTGGCCATGATCTCACAGAGATCTACTGTCTCTGCTTCCTGAGTGCTGGGATTAAAGGTGTGTGCCACCATGCCCACCTTGTTGTAAAGTTTAAGTGGGTTATGAACAGTGCTTAGAGTGGTCTTGCCATGTAATAATTACTTGTGATCATTTGTGCGTGTGACCACGTGTGCCCCTGCAGAGGCCTGGGGTGGACTCTGGGTGTCGTCTACTGCTTTCCACCTTACTATCTGGACACATGGTCTCTACTGAACCGAAAGCTCACCATTTTGGCTAGACTGGCCAAGAGGACAGGGATTTGGTTCTCTTGTTTTATGGATCATGTCCTCTGGTGCCGGGATCAAACCCAGGGCCTTGTGCTTGGTAGTCAAGCACTCTGTCATTGAGCTAATGCCGTAAGTCCAAGACAAGGATTTAGAAATGACATTCTTTTGCCTTCCAAGAGATTACCCTGTCACTGTGGAAAGCCACAAAAGTGACTTTCCTTTCTCTGGGTGGCAAGCTGGCTGTATGGGAAGGCAACTCTGCAGCTCAGGTCACTCAGATGTGACTGTGAGGCTTCCTCAGCAAAGCTGTCACCCACCTCTCACTGGAGCCCGCCAGGGAAGTGCGGGCAAGGACAGCTCAGTGTGGTGGTGGCATTAAACCTGAGCAATCACATACAACACAATGCCAGTGACTGACGCACACCAGGCCTCGGATAAGTGACTCAGGTCCTGAGTGTCTTCCTGGCAGGTCCTAGCATAAAATAAGTTATTTTCCTCTTCTCTTCGGACGCCAAGTTTAAAACACCAACCAAAATGCAGTAAGGAATTCATGAACCGACACATGAAAGAGGACAACAGCTTTGCTGTCACCCCACTTCCATCACGATTTTCTATCATTCCAAGAGGTGGGAGAAGACAAACTTTCACTCTTCACAAAAGGGATTTATGACTCAGTGGAGTGGCCATTCTGGGAGTTGGGGCAGGCTAACAACCTTGTGACTAGAATCACTCTGGGAGAAATTAAAAATATTTATGAAATACTTGTTCTACAAGATCAACCTTTCTTTCTTTTACATCTTCTTTTAAAAATGTCAATTATAAAATTCATTAATAAATAAGGAACAGGCCGTCTGTGATAGAATGAACCACACCCAACAGCCCAACACAGTGACTGAAAATATCCCATTTTAAGTGCAACCAACGGTACGCAGGCCGTGTGGTTCCTGCAGTCAGTGTGTCTTCGTGATATTGTCAGTCATGGCTGGGGCATCTGTAACCCAAGCACTTTGCTGTGGTGTCACAACTTCTTAAAGGTGGCCCAGAA